GCTGTGCAGAATCAGCAGCGGTTGTTTCATCTTACACCAGGTAACCGCAAGAATGATAAGTCGGTGATTTCTTGGACTCCAGAAGATGTAGAGGTTTTTGAGGCTTGCAAGAATGATCTTGCCCAAGCTACGTTGCTTAACTTCATGGCTCTGGATGCACAATTGACGCTCACGACTGATGCTTCAGACGTTGCGGTGGGTGCTGTTCTCCAACAAGTAGTGAAAGGTGTGACTCAGCCATTGGCATTTTATTCAAAAGGTTTGAGTCCAGCGCAGACTAAGTATAGTGCCTATGATCGTGAGTTGACTGCTATCTATCAAGCTGTCCAGCATTTTAAGTATGCATTAGAGGGACGTGATTTCGTCATTTTTACGGATCACAAACCTTTAACGTTTGCGTTCAGGCAAATAAGTGAGAAGGCATCTCCTCGTCGTGCAAGACAGCTGGAGTTTATTAGTCAGTATTGCACTGATATTCGTCATCTGGCTGGTGCAGATAATACGGTGGCTGACTCTTTGTCTCGGGTTGCTACGGTTCAGTTGGAGGCAAATGTTATTGAGTTAATTGCTGAGGGGCAGAAGACTGATGCAGAGTTGCTCGCTCAGCTGAAGAGCCAGTCTGAAGATGGTGTTGGGTTGAAGAAGTTGAGATTGCCGGATTCGAGTATTGAACTGTACTGTGATGTGTCAGGCAGTCGTGTTCGTCCTTTTGTTCCCGCAAACTGTCGGCAGCTGGTACTCTCGAAACTCCACGGTTTGGCTCATCCTGGTATTCGAGCAACGCGGAAATTGGTGCAGGCTAGGTATGTTTGGCTTGGTTTGGTTAAGGATGTAGCTGTGTTTGTGCGTAGTTGCATTGCGTGTCAGAAGTCCAAGATTCAGCGGCATACTAAAACACCAATTGGTTCGTTTGCTGATATTGATAGTCGGTTCCAGCATGTTCATGTTGACATTGTGGGTCCATTGCCTTTGTCTCAGGGGAAGCGTTATTGTTTGACTTGCGTCGATCGTTTTTCTCGGTGGCCTGTTGCTGTGCCTCTGTCGGGCATTACGGCAGAAGAAGTTGCAGCGGCTTTTATCGACGGTTGGGTGGCAAGTTTTGGTTCTCCGCAGGCTATTACCACTGATTTGGGTCGGCAGTTTGAGTCTGCTGTATTTCGGGAACTGACGAGATTGCTTGGAGTGAAACACTTTCATACCACGGCTTATCATCCTCAAGCAAATGGTATGGTTGAACGTTTCCATAGAACATTGAAGGCAGCCATTCGATGTCATTCCTCAAGTAATTGGACGCAGTCTCTTCCGCTTGTGTTGTTGGGATTGCGAACGACACCGAAGCTAGACCTAAATGCTAGTCCTTCAGAGATGTTGTTTGGAAATCCTCTTTGTGTTCCAGGGCAGATGCTTTCGGATTTCAAGCAGAAGTCGTCCGAGACTGATTTTGTGTCGGCGTTGCGAAGGGCTTTAGCTAAGGTTAAATCCGTTGAATCAACAAGACATTGTCATCCATCTGTGTATGTTCCGCGTGACGTTATTAATTGTAAGCACGTTTTTCTTCGAGTGGATCGTGCTCGAGCTCCACTTGAGCAGCCTTACGAAGGTCCATTTGAGGTGCTGAGTCGTAATGAGAAGACGTCTGTTATTGTTTGCCGTGGGAGAGAGGTGACTGTTTCGAATGATAGGTTGAAGGCGGCGTACTTAACGTGTGATGATCTTGAACAGGTTGTTCCAGAAACGCGTCAGCCTTCAGCGTTGTTGAATGGTGATCAGTTAGTGACTTCTGGTGATTGTAGGCGTGAATCCCTGTTGCCGATTCCGAAAGTGACACGAGCTGGTAGAGTAGTGCGTTTCCCAGCAAGGTTAGCGGAATTTCGGGATTAAGAGTGGTGTTGTCGACTAAATTAAAGTAAAAAATTATTGAGAGTAATCCATGCAGGAGGGGATCTGTGGCGACCCAGTTGGCTGTGCATTTATTGAATTTAAAAAGTAAAATTCAATTTCAAATATTTTTAAGTTTTTGGTTTTGATTGAGGAGAACGTTCCGATTTTTCTCTCTGTAAAAAGTTGAATAAAAGTTTATTAACATTGAAAATTTTTAGAGTTTTATTAATTAGCAAGGTGAACAGATCATTGCTAAACATCTCAGAAAAAATCGGTATAAAAATTATAAAATTCTAAAAAAATTTATTCTTGAGTTGTATGTATTGATTTCTACGTTTTTAAATATACTATCAGCAAATAACTCATTGTATAAAAAAATAGTTTTGAACTTATAAAAATATATATTTTTATTTAATTAAAGCTGGGAGTCATATAATTAATTGGGAATAAGTTGAAATTTGCTTGCCGTTAAATGTAATTATAAACATAACAACTTTTTAAACTTATCTCATACGGCATTTACACTGGCCGAAAATGGCTCATTTTGGTCAAAAATCGAAAATGAGAAGCGATTCTTGCATATAAAATTTCATACGCGAATGAGCCATTGCATCACATTCTGTACGAATGCATCCCAACGACGTTCGCATGCGTTCCAAATATGTTCCAAATACAAAGGAATACATTAAACATACCCTAAATAGAAGCTCTTCATGGCATTTTGACAGTTTGAGAAAGCAATTTTGACATTTTTACAAAAAAAGGTAAACATTTTTTTGAAAACGATGCACCACTTTTTAGAACTTCTACTTCCCAAAAAGTCTTAGTGTTTATACTGAGTTATGATTGATCTTCCTCATCTGGAATGGTACACCCAAATAGTCGTGAAAGGGTGATGTATAACTGACTGAAGTATTGTGCATTTAACAATAAATAATTATAATATTATATACAATGAATGGTTACATAAGTGTTAACTTACAGCTACATGGAACTACGAGTACTATGTATTTAACTACTAATATTAGTATTTTTTGAGGACTTTTATCATTATTAGCAAGCATTATTTTTGAACATTATATATTCCAGGGATTTATCCATCAACAAGTAACTGTCCTTATCTATTCTTACCTATAGCTATATACAGTGGCGGAGCTAGACCAACTCTGGACGTCGGCGAGATTAGAATTGCGAGGTCCCCTTTATAATCCAGTTGTAAAAGTAAATGAGTTATATTCACTAATATGACAAAGCATGATTGAAAGTTTTATTGCTAATCAAATTAAATTAAAAACAAATTAAAATAAATTAAGTTTCCTACTTTTAGCTTCACTCAATTTTTCATAATTTGCGCCAGCTATTTTCGCTTCAGTTTATAGAATTTTAAATGGAGATAGTCTCTCTTGGATCATCATACTTGTATAGTACGTCTTATTCAATTTTAAATTTGAGAAGCTTTTTTCCGTCGAAGCTATACTGACTGGAACTATGAACATGAATCTGGTTACTATATAAACATTCGGAAATATTTCGAATTTGGTTATTGCCATTATCAAACCAAATTGTTCAAAATATTTATTAAGTGTTTAGAATCCACAGTCGGTAACTTTTTGCGAGGCCCCTGTGGGTGCGAGGCCGTCGGCGGTCGCCGACATCGCTGACGCCTAGCGACGCCATTGGCTATATACAGTTTTTAAAAGTGAAATACTTATTTTGAGCATTTTTACTCAGTGCTGTTACCGAAAAGCTTTCCTTCTTATAAATAGATTTTGTGTGTATGTATGTACCCTTATGTAAGGTATTGTAGAAATTAGTGTGAATATTTAATCATTCACCATATTTCACCACATTCAGTGTTGAAGAATGTATGGAAATAAAGGTCTACATTATTTTGAATAATTCAAGCAATAAATTTGACGATAAAACTTTATGTATTATAGTAATCTGTTAATCTTTCTTTAGTTTAAAAATAAACTCAAACCGATCTACTGATATCTACTGATTTCAACATCATCAATGCTTGTGGAGGGGATAAACCCTTGCTATCATGACAGAATACATACTTACTGCTGTCCTTCTCTCCTAGTGAAGCATAAAGCCTCGTAATAGAGTACAGAGAGAGATAAAGCTTTTAATACGGTACTACTTTATTTAAAAAATCAGAGAGATCGCAGTACGCGAAGGAATTACTTAGTGGTGCAGGATTAGATGATATTAGTGCGCCAAAATTATGGTGTTTCAATAGGTTAGACTTTACGGCCCTCAGTTGAAATCCAGTGGGGTACATCTAATGGTTCTGTCCACATAACAAACGTAAGTGTTAATATCTTAAAAGCTTATCAAATAAATAACGTAAGAATTCGTTAACAAATAATTTATTAAATATTATAAGTCAAAAATAATGTTTAAACCTTATTGTTGCAAGCCTAAATGATAACATATTGGAAACTTATTAAATAAATAACAGGAATTTATTATCAAATATTTTATTCAATAATTCAATATTAATATAAATTAAATTAATATTTATTTTTAATTAAAAGTTATTATTGTAGTGTTATTAAAAATTGTATGTACTAATTTTAATTTTAATTGAATTATTTTCAATAGGATCACTAAAAAGAAAACCAGGTCATGGATGAATCGCTTGCGGCAAGTGTCACTTTTTTTAAAACCACAATCTACTGCAGTCTTCTCTAAATTTTTTTTTTGATTTGAAAATAGTTTCATTAAATGTTTTTGAAGGGCATAAGTACCGTCATTTAAAACGACATATGGCAACAATCTCTTTTTTCCCATTAATTCGTCTGGTGAGGAATGAACTTCAGTTTATTCTTTGTAGAGACGAATTCTTCAGTACTATACTATCATTTGCTCTACCGACGTTCCATCGATGGTGATGTAAATAAATTTGCGATTTGCATTTATTTATGCTAACTTTATACGAGGGCTGCTATACATGTTTCTGGCCTAGGCAACACTAAGTGTTGCCAGTTGCAATCTAACATTTCCATTGGAAAGGTTGACATATTCTAGCATAACATCACTCAGAACGTATTGTCATTTAATTGTGAATTGTTTTATTTACAGAGACTTGAAAAATTCATCTCGGCCAAAAAATGGAATTAACACGTGAACATTTTCGTGCGATCATTTTTCACAAGTTTCGACGTGAATTATCACTGCAAGAGTGCATTGATGAATTTAAATCTTTCTTTGGCGATGAAGCACCATCCCATAACACTGTGAAAAACTGGTTTAATGAATTTAATCGTGGCCGACGCTCGCTCAACGACGAATTCCGTGAAGCTCGTCCAAAAACGTCCGTTGTGCCAGAGAACGTTGATGCTGTGCGCGAACTGATAATGCAAGAAGAGACCAGCATACATTCGATATTGCATATACACCTGGCCGTAAAAAAGGTTTGTTCTCATTGGATTCCGCACAATTTGACAATCGCTCAAAAAAAGGCTCGTGTCGATTGGTGCAAAGAAGTGTTGAAAAAATACGATCGCAGTGCTTCAAAAGACGTTTATAAGATCTAAACAGATGACGAATCATGGATCTATGCATATGAGCTCGAAACAAAACAACAATCGACCGTGTGGATCTGCGAAGACGAGGCAAATCCAACGAAAGTTGTTCGTGGAAGAACCACTTGGAAGCAAATTGTCGCCTGTTTCTTCGGCAAAACTGGTAATGTAGCGATTGTTCCGCTTGAGCAACGAAGGAGGGTCACTTCTGAGTGGTACACCACAATTTGTTTGCCTGAAGTCTTCGGAGGAATTCGAAAAAGGAACAAGAGAAGACGAATCATTGTTTACCATGACAACGCAAGTTCTCACACATCGGTTCAAACCAGTGCCATCCAGCGTACAGCCCTGACTTGGCACCCAATGATTTCTTTTTATTTCCGCATATCAAGAAAAAAATGTGTGGTCAACGATTTTCGTCGACAGAAGATGCTGTTGAAGCGTTCAAAAACCATGTTTTGGAGGTTTGAGCGCATGCAAAAGTGTATAAATCAGGCTGGAGAATACTTTGAAAAACAATAAAACAATTTTTGATGATAAATATTTGCATTTTCATTATTAGGCCAGAAATATATATACCAGCCCTCGTAATTTAGCTTTTTCCTTTTGTAGTTTCAATAATAACAATCGTCGGAAGTAGAAGTATTAAATAGGATATACAATATGCTAGTCATCTAATGCTTCAAGTTAAATTGCGATTTTTCTTCAAATCTTTCGGCCATTACTTCCTTCCCATTCCTATCGTGTAGTAGGCAACTGTAATGAAAAAAAATATTTATAGTGGAATTGTACATACAGTTTGCATATCAAATTACATACATATGTATATAAATACGTTTATTATTTTTCTTTACGATTTATACAATATTGCTGTTTATTTCAATATGGTATTCACCTATTATACGTACTGAAGGGGACCTGCGAAGACATGACTGGAACAAGGCTCTCAGGAAGCTTTTGCAACAACTCATAAATGTCGTGTCCGCCCTGCAATCACAACATGGGGCTTACATATTTGTTCATCTTATCTTTCTAAGAAACAAAAAGAAAATATTGACGGGCACTACACAATAACAGCTGATATTTTCTTTGTTTCTTCATTTTAATTGTGTTTTTTATTTATAAGTAGGTTAAGGGGATCGCATTGCTATATTGCGGAGTTGTGCTTATAGTATATATGTATGTAGTGGTAGAAAAAATTTAATGAAATGCTCAAAAGCGATCTACCTCTGAAAGGTTTGATCAATTGTTGATTCGGCAATCTAGAAAAAACCATTTCTTTCATTGGATGATCTGAAAAAACAGTAAAATGCAATATAAGCAGAAAATATAAAACAGACTGATAGCGAGCTTATCCGCAAACCTTATTTAAGCCTTTAAGCTTTAAAAGCTTATTCCACAAAAAACAGGCCACAAACTAAAGATGTCCCGTCGAATAATTTGTGCAAGAACACAGTTGTACTGAAATAATTGCTGAAATGTGCTTTGGTCCTACGTAACCAAAGTTAAATTATTTGGTTCTGATGGATGGTAGCATGCAACATTACTTTATGGGGTTGTTTCTCTTCATCAGGCGTTGATCCAATATACTAGATAAAAGATAAGAAGTGCGCAACAGATTATGCCCAAATACTACATAATATAATACTACCATATGCCGAGGAACGATAACGACTGTAAATACTTCTCTCAAATAGCAAAGACCTGGTTCAGGGACAAAAATATCATGTAATGAGTATTTTCTTTGAAGTCGTTGGCCTTAAGTCCATAACAGTTTTGTCCACTGTTACGGAATAATAAAAATTTTTTAATCTTTATCGTTTATCTTCTATTTTTATTTTTTATTTTTATTACTTTTATCTTTCCTTTATTTTTCATCTTACCTCGTTTCATTTAATTTATATTTTAGCCTCCAAAAATAATTTCCTAGTTTTTGCGTCACATGTAAATAAGTTACATCCTTTTGCCTCACATGCCAATATTTTGGAAATTTGCCTGTCCTGGATATTCTTGGGGAATTTGTGACTATGGTTGAAGTGCTTATTGATATATTATGTAAGATTGTATATCTTTTGATTTAATTTTCTGGTTTTTATTTCCGTACTTTCTATAAAAATTTTCATTATAACCTTCCATGTTATAATAATTGTATTTATACATTTAAAATAAAATAAAGTTGCAATTTCATTTTAATTTACCTTATTTTACCTTATTACATATAATATAATTAAAGCACTATTTTATTTATAATTTTTGGACTTCATAATTATCTAGTTATGTCTTATCTAGTTATGTCTAATATGAGGTCTTTGTCGTGAAGATTTTTCTTGGTATTCTTATTTTTATGGGGTATATTTTCCATCAACAACTAGTGTTTTCGTAGTTGTACGTACCTTTATTCCAGTGTAAAATCACTGTGTTCGGGCACTACTATATAGCGATACACTGAGGACTTAGTTGAGTAACCCGTAAGAAGGTTGGACAAGTGACACATTTCGGATAGCATTGTGACTGTGAATGGTTTAGACACAAACAATAATACTCTACTTTAAAATATAGGAGATGTGTGGAATAAGGTGCGAGTCGAATAATTCATCGATTTGCGCAAATCTAGTGAATTCTGTGGGTCGCTGCTACGCCGAAGTTATAAATAATAATGGTTCCACAACTAAATATAAACAATGTGAGAACATGGGAAACCCATACATCGCGCTTCGAGGATAATCCCAGGCCTTTCAAGTGGTCATAAACTGTTGAATTTTATAAATTTAACCTCAATCCGATCTCACGCGTTGTTATTCGCCGGTTCGCATCAACTAATCAACTAATTTATCGCGTCTTTATCAGCTTCACCCGTCCTTACCGAACGTGGTGCATCTTCGACATTAAAACTGGAGGATCAAAATTTAGCGAACCAGTTCTAGCATTGGCGTACTAGCACCACAATTTCTCCATACACATCGGTCAATTTCTTTCTGGCTTGAACAGCATTTTAACCCTTTCTCTAGTAAAACAGTAAGATATATCGAAAATGCTACTTATCGCTCTACATATATAAAAGGCTTAAGTGTAAAGTTGAGTGCAAAAAAATACAATTAAATCCCCTATCGGGAAAAACGAAAATACTTTCCGAACAACCTAATAAAACTAATTTGATAAAGTATGAATGAACAATTCTCTCTTTTACTTTCATAATTAATAACTGTTTTACATGCTTCCAGTTTTGAATCAAACAGTCAGTTATCATCATTTAAAGTGCACAAATTCCTTTCTGATATAATAGTATTCGAAACGATTACATTCATACTTCAGCACATTATTGGAAAATGTAGTTTAAGAGTATAATACTTTATTGGATATATCAAAACATATTGATTAACATTACTACAACTTTCTACAGATACTATAGTATATTGTACTCCGATAATGTGTTTGATCCGACAAAATTTTATTATTATTGTTCTTTAGATGTTCACTCGTATTTCTATCAGAACGAAACACAATTTGTTCTTTAAAAAAATATTTAGAACAAAGTTTTGCTCTGCTTTTCTTTTGTCACAACTCTGAAGCATTTATTATTTTTTTTATTCG